ACCGCCGCAAATTTCCTAATAAACCACGCAAGGGCGTAGCCCCCCAAAAATTTTGTTTCTAGTTTTACTAGTAAAATTTCGTCCTGTACTTATATTTTGTCAGGGCGGGTGTATATGTCAGATTGATATTTATATTCTCGGTGTGAGATACTAAACGTTGATTAATTAATATAATACGCGTATAAACATTGTTTATTAGGGTCCGTAGAATATTTGTCGGTGAAATGATTGCCGACGAAATGATTGTCTCCCGTTTATTTATTAGTTGTAATAGAAATCGGACTGCTTTTCAGACATGTCTTCAATATAAATTACAGCTATCCGCTAAGGGTTGTTCAAATTAAGAGAGAGCAAAGCTGACTATATACAGTAGATATAATAAAGTAGAGATAGAGAAGACAATTTATTATTTTTGGAACCATCGCTTGTTTTATTAAACTATCCGAAATAAGCAACACTATAACAAAAAAGTGTTGCTTATTTTCGAATACGGTAAAAATTTTGGATCCAATTTAATTCTTTTGTCGTATAATCGTTTAGATTGTTCCAGTTATGGATTGTTTGAATTAAAGCTCTCGTACGACCATTACAAAGCATGCCATTTAACCACAGGCCGAGAGCGAAGCCAATAAATACTCCAACAAAGTATTCGCTTGTAAATGTTCGGACCCATTCTAGGATTTGACCCATTCTAAGAACGGGTCAACCCATTCTGGGATCCTGAAATGGGTTAACCCATTTCGATTTTTGCGATGTGATAATCTATAATCATTTCCGATTATCACACACTGGGTACACCAGCGATGATGCTTCTTTTAATAACATAATTAAAGTAGTTTATCTTGAATGCATGAAGGATTAAAAAAATGAACAGCTGTTTATTCGTCTTTAACAACAATGCTACCAATAATATGATCGATGCTTCGTAATCTAGCTGATGCAGCATATCAAAACTGTTAATTTTTCAACAATGCTATCAATCATACGCTCAATCTAGATGATGCAGCATATCAAAACTTTTAATTCTTCAACAATGCATTAATAATACGATCGATGCTTCGTAATCTGGCCGATACAATATATCAAAACTGTTAATTTTTCAACCATACGATCGATCGACACTTCGTAATCTGGCAAAATTTGTTAAATTTTCAACAATGCTATCAATGCTTCGTAATCTCGCTGATGCTTCGTAATCTAATTGATGCAGCATATCAAAACTGTTAATTCTTCAGCAATGCTAATAATCATACGATCGATACTTCGTAATCTGGATGATGCAGCATATCAGAACTGTTAATTTTTCAACAATGCTATTAATCATATGATCGATGCTTCGCAATCCGGGTGGTGCAGCTTATCAAAATTGCTAATTCTTTATATGATATAATGCAAATTGGCGAAACGAAAATTTTTTTACTCAAAAATAAGAACCTGCGTATTAGAGGGAATATGTGCGATGTAATCTATTGCTATGTGTATTCCACGTTAACAAATAACTGCTAGCTGATAAAAGCGACAAATAATTAGAAACGCTAATTTCTTTTATTATTATTATTATTATGTAATTCATATTTGCTATACATAAATTGCTTGTTCGGGGGGGGGTATACAATTAACAATGTATCATATGCGTCAGAACATAAGTTACGTCTATTGCATGTTAATATCTGGAATAGCCAATAAAATATCTGTTAGTATTAGTATGATGGGTCCGAACATTATTATTACGATATTATTGGTCAATTAAAATTAAAATTGAAACAAATCACGTGATTGTCGGGTATAGACCAGGACAATTCTTATCGATGGCCACCTTTGATTGGCCAAGCGTTAATTATTTTTGAGATTTATCATTGCTATTAATAACTACAATTATTTCCACTACTACCATAATAACTATCGCGAGGAACTTTATAATGCTGTAATAACGGAATTATCTGATTCTTTCCTACTCGTATAGTGAGAATCATTAGAATATGTTGTGTTGAAAGATGAACGCCCAACAATTGTTGATCTATAGAATCATTTATTACGTAACTCGTGTGATTATCACGGCCCAGTTTGCAATAAACCCTTTAAATTCTCGGCTGGCAACACTGCTACAGAATATTGGTTTCTTCCCTTGGGCGAGTCTCCAATAACGTTCACATCATAGTTTGTTATCACATTTGTGTGAATTGGTTTACTACTATATCGGCTATAAACTTTCTCATAGTGCTGTCTTCTACGTCAATATTTGACGAATTAGGAGTCAAGGTTATTGTCGCTTTTGGAGAACCCAGCGTAATAATAATAGCATCCAACATGTCTTCCTTAATGACAGAGACTTCATCGATACCAACCTTGGGATGTATTTAGAGTAAGATTAACAACAAACGACATTTCGCTAATGATTATACATACGATTCAAAGATAAAACGGACTTACTTCTGCAAATCTGTCAAGTATCTTGTCGACTCGTGCATCGCCCCAGAGAAACCTCTGGTTATTCACACTAGCCTTTCCCTTCGCTAATAAAAATCTATTGTTGTGTGTCATTAAATTGCCATTTAACGAGCCAACGAGTGAGTTGCCAACTACTTTGGGTCTGATTAATTTTGCCAGCTATTATAGAATAGTAGAAGCACATGTAAGATGTTAGAAAAGCCTGCCAAAATATGCTTATAACAAAGTATAATAAACGGCTTACTGATTCAGTGAGTGACGTTCTTTCATATTGTGAGTTTATTGTTACATTATTTACGCCCGAATACTCGTAAACTACAAGTTGCTGATGAGATAGTAATGTGTTACGAGCAATTTCATCAACGTCAGATGGGACAAGTACTGTCTTCGGTTGATGTTGTTGAAGTATGTACCCTACTTCTTGCACAGAAAGCCTGATATCGAGGGGGATAGTTTCTTGATTTATCTTCAATCCTTCAAAAGGAGAAAAAGCCTCTTTATGATCAATATCAGACTCTATAAATGAAAGATTGCATGAGGTTAGTTTCTAACAATAATTATCCTAATTGTATCTTTGTCACGTACCTGTGAATATAATCACATTTGCGGCGTTTTTGCCCCACTTCTTTAAAAATTCTACAGCAGCCCCACTTCGCAGCGATACGTGACCCGCAAAGACTATACATGGCTGTTTATATATTTGACTCAAGGAACTGTCCACTCGAGCAACATGAAACAGACGCTGTTTACTCATCAAAAGTTTGTGAATTGTTGGATTCTCGGCTGTGTATAATTTATCTTGATTCGATTTACACATCCTAGATACGCCAAGTAAAGTAAGCTCTAAAGCTCTCTTACATGGAGCAAATAACATCAGACTTTGATACTAACCATTCTCCCAAAATATTTGAATATTTCAAGGATTCTTCTGCCATAGGAGATATTACAAACATTCTTACATGACCACTAAGTCCTTTCGTTGACAATATTCTGTCAAGGTCTTCGACTAGATCAAGTATAATACCATTAGAAGTACATGGAAATAAGACATTTCCATCGCTATTAATTGTCCTCACTAAGTGTAGAGTCCCATGTTGATGGTCGAGAAAAATAAAATTAGTCAATGCGAATTCAAAGCAATAGCCTAATTTAACTGTGAATATAACCCACTTACCTACACATTCCTCAATCTTGGCAAGTGCTTCCTCGTAAGAAAGATGGGTTTCGGTACGCAAGTCACTAAGCAATACCACACTCGCATTTTCAAAAACAGTTCTATCAAACGGAGCAGGATGAATAGTCTTTATCGTCGAAGATGACGAGATTATTGCAATCTAGTTAAATAACGAAATTAGCATTCAATAATTATCCTTTACCCAAAAACCACATAAATACACAAATACACACCTTCTCATAGCCACAGTCAATAGCCCAATTAGCACTTCCTAGACAATAACCCGAACTATAAGCAGTAATTCTCAAAGAGTCATACAACGACTTGTAAGGGTTAGAGAGAACATCCTGGTTGAATACAAGAAATAAATCTATGCCATCAAGCCTCACGCTCCCACCAGATGCTCGCAATATCGAATCGGCTGAATCTTATCTATACACGATTGGACATCTGCCGTTGTATAAAGTGTTCTTGATAGATTTAGATCAAATGTTGATTCGTCTTGAAGTAACTTTCCGATACTGATAATAAAAAAAGAAGCTTTACCAGTTTGCGCGCAGAAATATAGGGGTTACAGAATCAAAAATGTGAGAATTGAGCTTACTTAGAATGCGATGGCGCGTGCCTACTTGCTGCGTCCGTTGATGAACTTTCACCAAAGTAATAAACCAGCTCATTCATAAGTTGTCTAAAGCCACAAACGAATTATAAGTATTAATACTCGACAAAATGTATGCCTTTTTTCTGTATCCGAAATGGGCTCACCGTCCAAACTCGATGGTCGGTTCAGTTGCATATATCTTGCCCATAAACTCGGTATATTCTGTAACGAAAGGCAAAGCGAGCATATGCCTATAACTAGATATCAAAATAAAATCCACCGCTTTCCAATCAACGGACGAGAAATCTGGCGTCTGTACTAAAAATCGCCCTGCTTCAGCAAACACGTCAAGCTTTCGACGTTTACGCGAGCTGTTATCATCTTCCGGGTTTTGAGGACCAAATATATCTAAATCTATCGTAGTCCTGTGATCAATATCAGCACCATCGTCATCGTCGCCGATGGTGTTGCGCGGCGGAAATCCTAACAAGGTCGATGTGTCGAGACCACAGTCGACTAAAAAGTCCATTTGACGGAGTTTAATGAGAAAGCAGTTCCTCTTTGGATTTTGGCTAAGGCAATGCTAGAAGAAGGACGTATTGACGATAATTAGTAGACGATACATTAGGTAATATTTGAAAAAACAGTTGCAATGTTTTCTAACCAATTTCATTTTTAATTTTCTAGCAAGCAGGAAATACAGACATAATAATAATAATAAATTCACACCCTTAATATTAAGTGCATTTAAGAATCTGATTGGTCTCATGTGATCATATGGTGGGAAATATTATTAGTTGGGAATGGAAAACTGTAGGGTCAACAAAGTGCGAATCAGCTTTTACGTTGTTATCTGTACCTGCTCGCACTCCTCTGAAAGACGGCGAATGCGCTCAACGAGCGCGGATCGTCGTAAAAGTCGTCGTTCTCGATCCCGTTCTTCCGAACGCGATTATAGAGAAACTAGGCGACGAGGACGGTCGAGATCTAACGAGAGATCAAAGTCTCTCACCAACCATCGTTTATCGAAGACAATGCGAATATCTACGTCAAGAGGAAGAAAGAGGTAAGAGAGGAGCCGTATGGAGATTTGTGTGAGTATACCGTGTAATATCATGATATAGCAGGACTTTGTTTAGCGGTTAGCCAACATTAATGTTCAGGCTAAATTCGTCTGCATTCTGAATAACAAAAAGCTAGCTATACGTTAATTACAATTAATCAATTATTAGGGACCATTCACACCGAAAGTCTCGCGATTCATCTTCAGACTCATCATCATCATCAGCAGATCGTAAACACTCATCACGGCGTAAACGTTCGAAACGGAAGCGATCATCCTCGACGTCTGACTATTCAAGTGACGAGGTTGCATCTCGTTCATCACCATCAGAAGAAGATCGCAAAAGGCGGAAACGTCGTAGAAGAAAGGAAGAAAAACGAAAGGATAGGAAGGGAAAAGATAAAAAGGTTGAGGCTGTGTTCTAGTTAAAAGAATTTGGCATTGCAGAGACCGAGTTGTTGCGATTAATAAGGGCTTTTTTTCCCTATTTAGAAAAAGAAAAAGAAGAGAGATAAATCAAAGACGCTTAAATACAAATGGGGAGCATTTGGAGTGATATCAGAAACAGAGTTTGTATTCCATCTGTTGTTTACCTGTAAATCCATGTCGTTTTTAAGATGGGTCAAAAATTTAATATAATGTCTATTAACGCGTTTCTAGTATGAAATCGAAAGAAGAAGTAAGTCTTGTGAATAGCCCGAGTTTCTTTTAAGTATATTTGATAGCCTTTAATCTCGCCATCTTATTCCGTAGGAATTTAACCTATGGTTATTAGAAGTACAAAATCTTAACCCTGAATCAATCAGTCCTCCGCTTATGAAAGAGCATTTTAAGCGATTTGTTGAAGGTAGGAAGAAAATTTATAATTTTTCGATATCCATGATGACGCCAATATTTCAATAACGCTGTTTATGTTCAGACTACAACACTGCAACATTACCCCACGTCAAATATTATGGTCTCGAAAAATGGGAAGCAGAGCAACGAGCCAAACGCTACAATACTTCTCGTGATCAGGTCGAAGAGAAAGGAGCTACGTTTGATTTTGCAAAAGACGAAGAGGAGATACGGTAATAGTAATAGCATGCTAATAGAGATTAAAGATATCGTTCCAAGGATTCAATTCTTAACGCGTAATCATAATCATTACTCTAGGAGGATGCACCGACAAGGGTCGCATGTTCCTCCACCGACAGGGCCGTTATACACGAAAGAACAGCTGCTAGAAGTGAAGCGTGTTACGGCCGAGCGTATTCAGGCAGAAAAATTGAGAAAGATGGGATTCACTCCTAAAGAGAGCATGGGAGTAAGATATGAATGAAATTTTGATGTGATAAATTAAAAGAGTGAACCAATCAATATATGGGCTTGTGTTTAATTATTTCTTTCTAAATTTATGCGATGCATAATAAAAATTCTTGAGCCGGATGGATTCAAAATGAATATTTATATAAAACACCCTTAACGAATGTTATTTTTATCACACTTGAATAAAGCTGTACAATTCTGAATTTTTCTAACCTAAATTCGAGTCTCCTTTTTACATCAACACCAGAATCGAGTCTAAAATAACAAACTGACGCATATCGTACACAGACACATGCCCTTATTGACGATATGCAAAGATCGTGTAATCTTGGGTAGCCATATGACCCATCATTGGATACTGTCCAGCCAACAGAGTAGGTCCTTTTACTTGTATTTCGATCGGATTCAAGCCTGAACGCAGAACAACATCAAACTTTGTGTGTCCTATTGTCGGCGCATTGGGGTAATGAACAGCGCCAGAAGGTCGTAATATTTCTCCACAAATGCGAAGAGCTATGCTCACGGGTTTGGGTGACGGCAGTAGGAGAGGTGTGGCGAGAATTGGAATTATCGTTAGTTGGTCGACGTCTTTTGTAAAGTACATGCTGTGATGAAAGTGTATAGTATCGAGAGACATTGCCTTTGAGCGAGTAAGTGTCTCGATGCCTATGCCTTGCAAAAGTGGGGTATCTGCACGTATGGAGAGAACAATAGTCAGACAATATAAATGAATCAGTATACAATTTCTCTATGTTTACATACCTTTCTGCGACAGCATGGACAAACTGCTTGGTAGACCAGTCGGAAGAAATAGTGGTTGCTGAAGAAAAGGCGACGGCATAACCAAGTCAACGTTTCTTAATTGAGATGCAGTACTTTTCATTGCAAGTTCACCCGGTCGTCCCAACCCATCGGCCAGACCCAGCACGTTCCTATTCATTTCAATGTTCTCCAATTGTTGCTGTTGAGCCGCTACTCGCGCTCTCTCACTGGCTCTTGTGACTTTTGGTGTTGGCGATATATCTCTATGACCACCTAGTTTGAGTTTAATTAATGTCTGCGGAGAATTTACGGCTGATCCTGATTTCATCCTTCGAGCTCTATATATTTCGAGCGGAGGATATTCAGGGGGGACCAGTTTCGTCCTGTACACGGGATGTTCGTCTATGGGCGCTTCTCGTTTCACGCTTGAAGATCTCGATCTGACTGTGCGAAGTTTTTTAAAATGAGTGTCCAATTTCACCGGCACGTGGGGAGTGAACCGGATGGTTTCCAGCCAGGGTAGTTCGAGTCTTTTGAATTCGACTTGCTTCCTTATTTTTGTGTAGATTCGTCGACAGACGTAAACGTTTTCTTGCGTATATCCTCGCGGATGCACTGCGTTTACGAGTCAAGCGTTAGCTCGAGAACGTTATCATTTCAAACCGCATAACATTCGATGCTTACAGTTCACGTAATCCGCTCTGCTCATTATGTAGCATTTGCCAGTGATATATTCAATTGGACACTCTTCGTAACTCTGCAACATGAACACTTCTTGCTTACATAACTCGTAATCTTCGGGTACTGGTACCTGCAAAAATAGTTCCATGGTTAAAAAATCCATTCTAGTGCATTTATTCATTACTGGATTCATACCTGATGTGGCTGCTTGAAGATGCGTCCATATATAAATGTGTTGCTAAAAGGCCAATTGTTACTACAAGTGGGGTGTCAGTCATGTGTAAAATGCAAGTTAAAAGGACCGTCTACGCAATTAACAGAATGATAATTACCCTTCCGTTCTGTATATTGTTTGTATCAAGAGGACATCGCCGTCATTGCCAATGTAAACAAAATCGCCTGCATATCCGTTAATATTCGAATGACATTGACATTTACGAATGGATTACGATACAGATACGTACCTCGGTAATATGTATCACCTGACCATCGAATTACATTAAAGTCATCGAAATCAGTTGGAACGTCAATCTAGAAAATGAAAAAATGAATAAATATTATAGACACTTTTTAATGTACGATATGATTTACGTTAATACCTGTGGCTTGCCAGGATACATATATTCCTTTTCGAATTCAACTAACGATCGTTTGTAGCATTCAAATATAACCTAGAAAACAAAAGTTGAGTATCATTGAATGAATTTACGTAGTCCAGAATATGGGCAAGTCATTTACCTTTAAAGCTCTTGCACTGGTTTCGGCTCCCGGTATAATTCTATTGACCTTTATTCCATTGTTAAAGACCCTTTCGACATCTGATACAAAATCTACTACCGATGTATACGTGAGTAAACGTTCCTACAATTCGAAATGGTGCCATTTATGAGCAAAAACTCTCGGATGGAGAAGTAAAACACGTTAATAAAAATTTCTCACTCTTATTCGAGGAAGAGTATCTGCATGTTCAATTGCAGAAAAGTATTCCGGACAAGCGTTTTTATCAGGTAACTCCATAAACGGCTCACACAACAGCTGCCCACTGAATCATGAAGAGTTAGGTTAGTGATATTAATAATAATCCAAAAAATCTGTATATCTCTGGTGGAAAATACTTACTTTGCGTCCTTCGAACTTTCTATTGCATCAAGAATACGTTCCATTCGCTTTACAGCCACGGCTTTACAGTACTTTGATCGCTCGGCCTCGTCTTCAATTGATGTAGGATTAGTGATGAAATTTTCAGGTAGTAATGGTTGTCTCAGTCTCTCTCCATCAGAAGAAGTCGGCGTGCTTAGTGAATCGGGTGCAGTTGAAAGTGATGCTCCGTAAACAATATAATTTCTCGCTATTTCCTGCTGTTTTTATTACGCGGTATATATTAATTAACATGCATGATTTGCTTATAGGTGTGATTGAAAAAGGCAAAGACAAACATACAGGATCACGAAGAAAATCCCATTGCGGATGTGATGAGTGATCAGCTAAATCAAGCGCTGTCTGGCCGTACATATTTTCGGCCTTTGGGTTTGCTCCGTACACTTCAACCAACAGCCGCGCCAATTCGATGTTACCTAGAGTAGTTCGAGTATAAAAGAGATATGTGGATCACTTCTCAGTATAAAAAAATGCGAGAGAGTTAACTAATTGCATCAACCTAGGTAACTGCCTGTATTGCCGCATACCTCCATATGTGGCCCAAGCTAAAGCAGTAGCTCCATACCAAGTGTCTTGTACCTCTACTTTGGCTCCCCTATTCATCAGTAAACCCAGAATCTGTATGCGACCATAATAAGCTGCACAATGTAAAGGAGTCCATGTAAATTTGTCCCCATTGTATTCTGTATCCCATAGGGCATTAACATCAAAGTCGGGATTGTCGTGAAGAAAATTTCTTGCTGCATCTACATCGTCTGATTCTATTGCTTTAAAAAGCTCTACAATTTTTTTGAGAATTAAAACAGAATAAGAAACTGCCGTTTGCATAATTGTACAACGACAAGACAATTTGAATTCGCGCTAAACGTACTTTTCGCAAGTTCAGTGCTTTTCCCAGACTGAATGATAATTGTTGAAGATTTTGGTTTGATAGCTGTTTTGAATTCCGTGACTCTTTTTTTAACCAATTCCTATGAAGAAACATCTGTACTCATAAGTCATACAACGTATTATATTAGATCTCTCAAAATTACATCCTCCCCCTAAGTAGTCTCAATATAGTACTGTACCTGCAATGTCTGCGAATCCTGGTATACGAGAGACTCCTTCAAGTTGTAGGTTTGGGCGTTCATAAACATTTGATCACAATCCGTCCCAAATTCATCGAGCGACTTGTACTGTCGTTTTGTAATTTTTGCCTTAAGAAGCAACATATCGTAAAAATCGACATATCGATATCTGACAAAAATATGAAATCAATATAAATTAACTTACTCCAATTGTGCTTAACGAAACTGGTAAAGTTATGACCTGGTAGTAGTCAGGATAGGTCCGCTTTGACGGCAGTCTCTCAAAGATGGCTGCTAACACTCGACCACTATTCAGGAAATTTTCGAAAATAAGCATAATGTTTTGAAAGGGCGATCCTTAACAAGACTTGAAGGGATGATTATTTACTCTTCGGCTATTTGATCTCTCATTTCCTGCATTATTTGAAGACATTTCTCTTGCAAAATCTTTGACATTTCCTCCGTGTTCTTTTAGAAAAGAGTTAAAGTCGGACATAATTCACACAAGATAGTAGGAGAAAAATTAATCAATATTCCCAGCATACTTGTCTGTTTGTTATTTTGATCCTTAATAAAGGAGCCGAACCAGTATTAGATGTTAGACTTTTGCCAGAGTCCTCGTTGTGTTCAATGATGCCTGACTTTGAGGGTCTACCCCGTCGACCTGGTGCCATTTTGTTGAATACTTTTTCGACTGACGTTAATATTAAATTGAAATACTGAGTGTCACTATACTCGAGTTGGTAGGAGGGGGGACAGATCTAAACCTGAGAATAGTGAATTCGTTACGAAAGATATGTTCGATCAATGAAAATTAAGCGCGCGAGATTGATGGAAAGAAGCTGTTGAGTGGAAGTCAAATAAGGAAATTGATTTGCTAAAGTCCCAGATTGGAGAATGTACATAAGATTACTTAATAGAGGCAAGTGACGTGTTGTGTTGATAACGTAACCGCACTTCTTAAAATATAATTTTGGCAAGCTGTTGTCGTGGGGAAGTTGATGATTTAACTTAAATGCGATTAACTACGTGATCAATCAGGCATACTGTTAAATGGATTAATTTTTACGATTTTTGCTATTCACAGGTCAGAGCCCGTAAAAGCCTAACTTCCCTCTCATTACAAGTTTTTTTATCTTTCACGACATGCGTGTATAATAAAAACCTGGGACCGGCTGCTTTGTCCTTGCCCAAGCTATTCGCTATAAAAAAACTTTCACTCGTCCTTTCAGCATACTGAATATCCATATATTATTAAGCTATATATGCTGACTACACAAACACGGCTAAGTTTATTCTTGCGTCAACTTTGGCTGCAATAGCGCTGAACTAGGTTATCAATATCAAACGTAATTCCGTAAATGTTTACTAGCTTAGAATCGGTTTATGAGCACTACCCATCCCAATGATGATAAGCCGTAAATGCTATCGCAGTAATAGTCGTCTTGAAAAAATTTAAAGACTTGAACTTTAGAAGCTAAAACCAGGCCATAGTTATGCGCTTGATTATTTTTGGGAGATAAACTTTATTCCCGTGAGTAAAAGGGATACTGAGAGTAGCAATGAATCTAATCGCCGAGAAAATGACAATTGAGAATGACAATAATGATAACTTTTTACACACACTTTATTGAATGGCTTGTGTTGCCAGATACAATATAATCGCATTATTAAGAATGCTTGCTACGTATTAGTATCGCTCGTACAACTGACTCTCGAAGTCCGCATGTTGAGCACGCTCGTAATACCGAAAGCCAGACTAAATTATTACAACACTCTATTCGACCAAAGTAAGTGAACGCTATTTGGATATTATTCATTTTCTTTTATGTAGAAACCTATTTTGTGTTAGGTTAATATTGACGCGATAAAACTCGCATGAGGAGACGACATTTAATAGCCATACGGACAATACATTAGGCGGCATATTAGAAACAGTGTAATGAATGTCGAAGCGAAGGAAGAATGGGGTCGTAGCAGATCAATGGTTCTGCTATCACAGATGCCCAATTGCATTTTTGGACGAATTAATTATAATAGGTATGTAACCTTAATATTTCAGTTTATTTATGTATTTCAACCAAATGAAAAGGGGCACTATAAGTGTGATTAAATAGTATAATTTCTTAACTGCTTTCGCCTGTCTTCCGCCCCGTTATTATCTTTTTTGATTGACATGTTATTCTAGTAACATGTGGATATCCATTTTATAATCAGCTAACGCCACGTACAAGAAAATCTATTGCCATCTTGTCATCACTAATAAATTTGAGAATTGTTAGTGAGAAATTCGATACATACAAATAACGTTTGTAATTACTTACGCCGACAACTCTTTCGTGCTTATTTTATAATATAACTCTTCATATCCTTTAGCAGCTTTTGGAAGACTCTTTTCTACGACATTGTGATAAACGTTTTTACACGAGTTTGCCGTGCGTCCATTGCCAAGTCTGTTTGCAATTTCTGCCCATCCCATACCTTCTGAGAAAATTCTTCTTTTTTTTACGACAGGACTTTCTTTTTCGACTATACTTTCTTTTTTGACTATACTTTCTTCTTTTTTTTTTTTTACTCCATTTCTCATACAATAAATAATGGCAACCTCTTCTTCCGTGAATGGGTCTTTGTTGACTATTAAACAAGAGGATGCGTTGGTGAATTTCATCGACAATGACAGCGTAGTCAACTTGTATTTTAAATCTTACCTCCTTGTAAGTGAGATAGCCATCGTTCTCTCATCTGCTTGTCGTTCCGAGTAGGATGGTAAATAGAATTTTTTTCCCAGTTATGTGGGCCAAATCTTTTTACTATGTCCAAGAGTATTTTATCCTCCTATAATCCCATTGGGAATGTAACGATAAATTAGACGGAATCGTTGAAATATTGAATAGGACTCCAAAGTGCATGTCACATTTACCTCAGTAGTCCAGTGTCCCTGTTTTAGTCTCGGCTTTAGAGGATATTTCTCAAGCTTGCAATCTTTATTGTAAACTATTGTTGTATAACGGTTTGTGTAAAAGTTAACACAATCTTCCATCTTCATTTGCTCCTATAATCCATAAAATACATCAAATAGTAAAATATATTTAAGACACCAGAGAAGAGTTGTAAGTATACGAATGTGTGTATTTACCAAATAGCTTTTAGGAACCATCGGTAGCTTCCAAGGGTTTGACTTTTCAATTTTCTTGCGTGAACGGTTATATTTCTTTCTAGGAACTTTGTACATGGTTGCTTTGAGACAGTTAGGCCTATGAGCTGTCATGATTGTCAAGCGCAAAAGTAAGATTAAAGATATGAGAGACTGGTCAAAAAACCGCTAATATTGCTGTTAAAGACTTTCCAACAGACGCAGTAGCATATAGTTATGATATTTGTAGTGTACAGTAACTCAAGGATGACAAATAAGGAGGAGAAAGTTGTATAACAGAAACAGTTGGGGTCATAATCACACGAATTGCATTCTAAGACTGTCTTTCCGCTATTGGCAATATTTCAATGAGCCTAGACTACAATGCCAAGTAGGGTATCGCTTAACCTTTAAGAGTATCTTCATGAATGTATAAAGACAAAAGAAATAAGTCTACCATCTATCCGAATTGAATTTTGATGCAGAAAAAGCAAGAATGCTTTGTTGACAAGAATCAAGGAAACGAAATTGCGTAGAATTTATGAGCAGTAGTTTTCAAATGAGAAGAATCAAGCGCTGTTGTTCGTACAACTGATTAACTCTCGACGTCTGTGGGTTGAGCACGTCAGTAATGCCGAAGCTAAATATTACTATATTAATAAGTAAATTCAACAGATCAAGCGCATATATTTGAAGTCAATCTTGGTTTGTATTATACTTGTGTATGACTCGATTTGTTAGTAATTTGTACTCGCTTGCATAAAGCTACGTAATAAATGTCGGGATGGGGATCAGTGGAATAAACCATCAATGGTGCAGGCGCCAACAAGTTTTGACGAATTGATAACATTAAATATGTCGACTTTATAGTTAAGATTTTGTTGTGCTGATATCATAATGAAGGTATACTCAAAAAGTACTCTCTGTTCAATAATATTAACCTAACAAAGGTAGAGACAACAATAATGGATGACTGAAATGCAATGCGATATTTGTAATAAAATATACAATAGATGTGTCTTTGTGTTATAATTAATATTTTGTACACAAATATTTACTGCAAGATTCTACTACGACTCATATTATTCAGACGGTGTAATATCCGACTTGTCCGTTATCCATCATCATGAAAAACTCTTTTTCTTACTAATGAATTTTGAGTAAAATTGGTTAGTAAGAAATTACTGGAAATTCGATACATACAATGTCCGTAATTACTTACGCTGACGGCACTGTCGTTATTGCATGATATATAGTTTCATATTTGCTAGCAGATTTTGGACAACTTCTAAGATTCTTGGCCACGACATTGTGATAAACGTTTTTACACGAGTTTGGGGTGCGTCCATTGCCAAGTCTTTTTGCGATATCTGCCCATCCTTTTTGCTCTATACAACGCATGTAGTAAACAATGGCAACCTCTTCTTCCGTGAATGGGTTTTTGTTGACTATTCGATAAGAGGGGTGCGTTAGTGAATTTTATTGACAATCACAGCGTAATCAACTTAAAATCTTACCTCCTTGTGAGTGAGATAGCCATCGTTCTCTCATCTGCCTGCCGTTTCGAGTAGGATGGTAAATAGAATTTTTTTCCCAGTTATGTGGGCCAAATCTTTCTACTATGTCCGAGAGCATTTTATCTTCCTATTATCCGTTAGGAATGTGACGATAGTAAAATAAATAAGACAAAATTATTGATATATAGGACTCCAAAGTATACTGCATGTCACATTTACCTTAGAAGTCCAGTGTCCTTGTTTTAGTTCCGACTTTAGAGGATATTTCTCAAGCTTGCAATCGTTATTGTAAACTATTGTTGGATAACGATCTGCGTAAAAGTTATCACAATCTTCCGTCTTCATTTGCTCCTATAATCCATTAAAATACAGCAAATGGTAAGATATAGAACGAATTATTTGACACCACGCATCGATAATGTAAATTGATAAACATATGCACATCTAAGCTTACCACATCTTCTATCTGTAAACTTGACAAACCCATCTCTCCAGTTGAATTTTTTTCTGTAAAGAAGTAGTTGTAAGTATACGAATGTGTGTGTAATAGTTTTTAGGGCTTCCAAGAGTTTGACTCTTCAATTTTCTTGCGTGGACAAAGGGTAATTATAGTGAGACTAGATATATAAGGAGATTGTTGTTAAATATTTGCATGTACAGGATGACAAATAAGGTAGTGTGTATGGAAAGTTAGTATAACAGAGATTTGCATTTTAGGAACAAGATTAGTCAGCGCAATACGTAATAGCATTTGAACGAGATGTCAGTGTATGTAAGGACAAAGAGATAATTATGCCATCCTATCAGAATTGAATTTTGATGCAGAAAAAACAAGCTGTCGACGCCTGTAAGTTGGGCGCGTCTGTAATGCCTATTGAAGTATTATTCTTCAATCCTCGATTGGTTCGTTCTCCTTTAGGAGAATTTTGTCACAGAAAACGATTCTGTGTAAGGTTAAACATGACGCGATAAATGAGAGACGAGTCAGAGAGTAATAAACGGAGAAAAGGAGGTAGGTTTGGATGAATAAAATATGTCGGCAGTTTTATTTGATGCTAAGAGTGGTAGTGGGAATATTTATTTAGAATGCCGTTCGAAATATTTACTATAGGTGGCTTTTTTTGTGATTGCATGTTATTCTATTAACCTTTGATATCCATTTTATTCTCAGCCATATGCTTCACTGTTAAAAGAGAATCTATTGCCATCTTTTCTTTGCTAATAAATTCGAGAGAGATTTATTAGTAAGAAATTACTATAAATTCGATACATACAACAACGTCAGTAAGTACTCACTCTGACAACCGTCTGCTAGCAGATTTTTGATAATTCTCAAGATTCTTGGCGACGATTTTGTAATATACGTTTTGACACGAGCTTGGCGTGCGTCCATTGCCAAGTCTTTTTGCAATTTCGGCCCATCCTTTTTTTTCTATGTCATGCATATAGTAAACAATGGTGACCTCTTCTTCTGTGAATGGGCTTTTGTTAACTATTGAATAAGAGGATGCGTTAGTGAATTTTATTGACAATGACAGCGTAATCAACTTTTATTTTAAAATCTTTACCTCCTTCTCTTAAGTGACATAGCCATCGTGCCCTCATATGCTTGCCGTTCCGAGTAGGATGGTATATAGAGTTCTTTTCCCAGTTATGTGGGCCAAATTTTTTTACAATGTGCAAGAGTATTTCATCCTCCTATGATCCCATTAGGAATGTAACGATAGTAAAATAAATAAGACAAAGTTATTGATATATTGAATAGGACTCCAAAGTATACTGCATGTCATATTTACCTCAGGAGTCCAGTGTCCCTGTTTTAGTCCCGACTTTGGATGATATACTATAAGCTTGCTCGTCATTGCAAACTGTTGTTGGATAACGGTAAACGTTATAACAATCTTCCTCCTTTATTTCCTTCTATAATCCATTAGAAACGTGACGTAAGATGAATAAGACAAATCATTGAAATATTGAATAAGACTCTACATACAACACAAAAGTAGTGTCCGGTCAATCTCCTTATATCTCTAGTCTCACTTTGCGACTGACAACCATGACGCATAAAAAGAATAGTTATGTTAAAGCTTGTCCACCAAGACAAACTGATCCTTTCCAGCAACCAAATTTTTATCTAAAGCCGGAAGCGAAAAAGGGACACTGGACTCCGAAGGTAAATGTGACATGCACGTACAGGATGACAAATAAGGTAATGTGTATGGAAAGTTAGTATAACAGAGATTGAATCACATGTTGCATTTTTAGGAACAAGATTAGTCAGCGCAATACGTAATAACATTTGACTTCAATGTCAATGTATGTAAGGACAAAAGAGATAATTATGCCATCCTATCAGAATTGAATTTTGATGCAGAAAAAACAAGCTGTCGACGCCTGTAAGTTGAGCACGTCTAACGCCTATTTGAAGTGCTATTCTTCAATCCTCGATTGGTTCGTTCTCCTTTAGGTCACAGAAACGATTTTGTGTAAGGTTAGACATGACGCGATAAATGAGAAGAAGTAATAAACGGAGAAAAGGAGGCAGGTTTGGATGAATAAAATACGTCGACAGTTTTATTTGATGTTAAGAATGGTAGGGGGAATATTTATACAATAATTTTTAGAATGCCGTTCGAAATATTTACTATTGGTGGCTTTTTTTTTTGTGATTGCATGTTATTTTATTAACATGTCCATATGCTTCACCGTTACAAGAAACTCTATTGCCATCTTTGCTGTTAGTAAGAAATTACTGAAAATTCGATACATACGAATAATGTCAGTGATTACTTACGCTGAATAATCCCCCAACTCTTTCACTAATGCTGCAAAATATGATATTTTATATTTGCTAGCAGATTTTGGACAATTCTTAAGATTCTTGGCCACGACATTGTGATAAACGTTTTTACAAGAATTTGCCGTGTGTCTATTGCCAAATCTTTTTGCAGCTCCTGCCCATCCTATTTTTTTCTATGTCATGCATATAATAAATAATGAGATGGGTGCGTTAGTGAACTTTATTGACAATAACAGCGTAATCAACTTTTATTTTAAAATCTTTACCTCCTTGTAAGTGAGATAGCCATCGTGCCCTCATTTGTTTGCCGTTCCGAGTAGGATGGTAAATAGAGTTCTTTCCCAGTTATTTGCGCCAAATCTTTTTCCTATAATCCCATTAGAATGTAACGATGGTAAAATAAATAAGACAAAATCATTTATATATCGAATAGGATTCCCAAATGTCGCATTTACCTCAGCAGTAGTGTCCCGGTTTTAGTTCCGACTTTGGAAGATATACTATAAGCTTGCAATCGTCATTGTTGGATAACGGTCTGCGTAAACGTTATCACAATCTTCCTCCTTCATTTCCTCCTATAATCCATTAAAATACATCAAATAGTAAGATATAGAACGAATTGTTTGAGACACCAGAGAAGTAGTTGTAAGTATACGAATGTGTGTATTTACTAACTTATAATAGTTTTTAGGAACCATCGGTGACTCCCAAGGGTTTGACTTTTCAATTTTCTTGCATGAACGAGGTTTAAGATAATTCTTGTAAAGAGCAGTTTGTAATGTAAGATGAGTAATATATTAACGTTGTTATTATTTCTTTGATTCTCAATGATTGAATGTGTGTATTTACCAATTTATAATAGCTTTTAGGGCCCGTTAGTTGCTTCCAAAGGTTTGACTTTCTAACTGGCTTGCGGGAACGTGCTTTGAGACAGTTAGGCCTACGAGTTATCATAATTGTCAAGCACAAAAGTAAGATTAAAGATACGGGACTGGTCAAAAAACTGCTAATATTGCTGTTAAAGACTTTCCAGTCTAAAACACAGACGCAGTAGCATATACAATGGTTATGATATTTGTAGTGTACAGTAACTCAAGGATGACAAATAAGGTAGTCTGCATAGGAGATAGCAGAAACAGTTAGGTCATAATCACACGAATTGCATTCTAAGAACACTCACGATTGTCTTTCTGCCATTGGCAATAAGTGATTGTATTTCAATGAGCCTAGACTACAATGCCAATGTAGGGTATCGCTTAACCTTTAAGAGTATCTTCATGAATGTATAAAGACAAAAGAAATAAGTCTACCATCTATCCGAATTGAATTTTGATGCAGAAAAAGCAAGAATGCTTTATCAAGGAAACGAATTGCGTAGAATTTATGAGCAGTAGTTTTCAAATGAGGAGAATCGCGCGCTGCAACTGATTAACTCTCGACGTCTGTGGGTTGAGCACGTCAGTAATGCCGAAGCTAAATATTACTATATTACACGTAATAAGTAAATTCCACAGATCAAGCGCATATATTTGAAATCAATCTTGGTTTGTATTATACTTGTGTACTCGATTTGCTAGCAATTTGTGAAGACTATACAGGTGTTAAATTAGATTGCACATAAAGAGCTGACGTGATGAGACTCGCTTGCATAAAGCTACGTAATAAATGTCGCAACGAAGGATTGATGAAGAGTAGGATGGGGGATCAGTGGAATAAACCATCAATGGTGCAGGCGCCAACAAGTTTTGACGAATTGATAACATTAGATATGTCGACTTTATAGTTTATTGACGTTAAGATTTTGTTGTGCTGATATCATGACTAAATGCAAAGCGATATTTGTAATAAAATATACAATAGATGTGTATTTCAACTGTCTTTGTGTTATAATTAATATTTTGTACACAAATATTTACTGCAAGGAAGATTCTACTACGACTCATATTATTCAGACGGGGTAATATCCGACTTGTCCGTTATTCATCATTATGAAAAACTCTATAGCCATCTTTTCCTTACTAATGAATTTCGAGTAAAATTGGTTAGTAAGAAATTACTGGAAATTCAATACATACAATGTCCGTAATTACTTACGCTGACGGCACTGTCGTTATTGCATGATATATAGTTTCATATTTGCTAGCAGATTTTGGACGACTTCTAAGATTCTTGGCCACGACATTGTGATAAACGTTTTTACACGAGTTTGGGGTGCGTCTATTATCAAGTCTTTTTGCGATATCTGCCCATCCTTTTTGCTCTATACAACGCATGTAGTAAACAATGGCAACCTCTTTTTCCGTGAACGGGTCTTTGTTGACTATTCGATAAGAGGGGCGTTAGTGAATTTTATTGACAATCACAGCGTAATCAACTTGTATTTTAAAATCTTACCTCCTTGTAAGTGAGATAGCCATCGTTCTCTCATCTGTCTGCCGTTTCGAGTAGGATGGTAAATAGAGTTTTTTTCCCAGTTATGTGGGCCAAATCTGTTTACTATGTCCAAGAGCATTTTATCTTCCTATTATCCGTTAAGAATGTGACGATAGTAAAATAAATAAGACAAAATCATTGATATATTGAATAGGACTCCAAGTATACTGCATGTCACATTTACCTCACAAATCCAGTGTCCTTGTTTTAGTCCCGGCTTTAGAGGATATTTCTCTAGTTGGTAATCGTTATTGTAAGCTGTTGTTAGATAACAGGCTGTCTTGTCTGAAACCGTGGTCGGATTGTATGCGCAAACGTCATCACAATCTTCCGTCTTTATTACATCTTTCTATAATCCATTAAAATACAGTAAACAGTAAGATGAATAGAACAAATTCTTTGAGACACCAAGTATACGAATGTGTGTATTCACCAATTGACAAAAGCTTTTAGGAATTTGTCTGCGTGGACAAGCGCTAGAACTATTCGGCCTTCGATCCTGATAAAATTTCTTTCTAGGAGCTTTGAGACAGTTAGATCTACATTCTGTCATGTTGTCAATGGCAAATGGTGATTATAATAAGGTTAAAGATTAGAAAGATTGATCAATCCGTTGCAGATAAAAGTACATATACAATCGTTAAATATTTATGTACCGGGATGACAAACAAGGCAACGGACTGAAATTCAAAAGATAAGCACACAGATTGGGACAAGGTTGGCAATAATTTGAAAGAGTTAGACTACAATGCCAATATAGGAAATCGCATTGCGTTCATAAATGTGTAAAGACAAAAAGAAATAGTTACGCAGATATCGCGCGCCTAACTTGATTCGTTGTAAAATACCATACTTGTAAATCAATAATGCATTATCGTTATGTATTTATGGAAATATACGAACTCCAATAATTGTTACATGAGATGAGTATTACACTGTTGTTGCAGTTAAAGATTATCGTTATCGGCTGCGGATAATTTAGCCTTTTAAAGTGTCACAATGATATATGGCGTATTCACTGAACTTCAGTATAAATTTTGTAGTGATTTTAAGGACAGTCATCAGTTCTAAGCCACATCAATGTTCCGAAAATATAAATGCCTAACCTTCCACTCATACTATTCTCTGTAAGAAGGATCTCAAGCGCTCTTTCTTTGCTTAACATACTGGCTATCCATCTTAATATAAACCGTATACATTGATATAATTCCGATTATTATAAATACAGTATATACTTAATACTCGTTACACCTAAAAGATATGACCGTAACTCCGTGAATGTTTACCAATTTAGAATCGGTCTATGAACACCGTCCTCTCACTAATAATGTCAGAATGTCTATAGTTTGGCAATTCCGAATTGGTATATCTAATCGAATTAGCATAATCTTCATAGTCTCACATTAATATTCGAACAATCGTATTAGTTTGCCCTGAAAGACTATTGAGGTGTCGAGTTGAGCGATCCCGATCGCATAGATATGTAAAGTACAATAAATGTATAACGATTTGTAACTGCCTTCTTAGTTCCTATGTCTGTACCATTCGAAATGTCTGCTAGCAGGGTTTGGAAGACTCTTGGCCACAACATTGTGGTAAACGTTTTTACGAGAGTTTGGCGTGCATCCATTTTTGAGCATTTGCTTGCCGTTCCCGTAAATAGAGTTCCATTCCCAGATCCAGTTATGTGGGCCAAATCTTTCTAAGAGAGGTGTATCCTCCTATATCCATTAAAAATGTATACGATAGTAAAATGAATAAGACAAAATCATTGAAATATTGAACAGGATCCCAAAATATGCTGTATGTCGCATTTACCACGGCAGTCCAATGTCCCCGTTTTGCTTTCGGCTTTAGAAGATATTTCTGCCCTTGATCCGAACTGCATTTCTTTTCCTTACTAGTAAATTTCGAGAAAATTTTAGTAGAAATTCGATACATACAAACAACGTCTGTAATTACTTACGCTGACGGCTCTTTCTTCGTGCCTATTTTATGATATAACTCTTCATATCCTTTAGCAGCTTTTGGAAGACTCTTGGCCACGATATTGTGATAAACGTTTTTACACGAGTTGGCGTGCGTCCATTGCCAAGTCTGTTTGCAATTTCTGCCCATCCTATACCTTCTATGTCTTGCATATAATAAATAATGGCAACCTCTTCTTCCGTGAATGGGTCTTTGTTGACTATTTGATAAGAGGGGTGCGTTAGTGAATTTTATTGACAATCACAGCGTAATCTACTTGTATTTTAAACTTTGCTTTACCTCCTTGTAAGTGAGATAGCCATCGTTCTCTCATCTGCTTGCCGTTCCGAGTAGGATGGTAAATAGAGTTCTTTTCCCAGTTATGTGGGCCAAGTCTGTCTACTATGTCCAAGAGTATTTTATCCTCCTATAATCCCATTGGGAATGTAACGATAAATTAGACGGAATCGTTGAAATATTGAATAGGACTCCAAAGTGCATGTCACATTTACCTCAGTAGTCCAGTGTCCCTGTTTTAGTCTCGGCTTTAGAGGATATTTCTCAAGCTTGCAATCTTTATTGTAAACTATTGTTGTATAACGGTTTGTGTAAAAGTTAACACAATCTTCCATCTTCATTTGCTCCTATAATCCATTAAATGGTAAGATATAGAACGAATTCTTTGACACCAAAGAAGTAGTATACGAATGTGTGTATTTACCAACTTATAATGGTTTTTAGGAACCATCGGTGACTTCCAATGGTTTGACTCTTCAATTTTCTTGCGTGGACAAGCTTTAACATAACTATTCTTTTTATGCGTCATGGTTGTCAGTCGCAAAGTGAGACTAGAGATATAAGGAGATTGACCAAACTACTACTTTTCTGTTGTATGTACAGGATGACAAATAAGGTAGTGTGTATGTATAACAGAGATTAATCACACGTTGCATTTAGGAACAAGATTAGTCAGCTCGCAATACGTGATAGCATTTGAACGAGCTTAGACTTCAATGTCAATGTATGGACAAAAGAGATAATTATGCCATCCTATCAGAATTGAATTTTGATGAGCACGTCTGTAATGCCTATTTGAAGTGCTATTCTTCAATCCTCGATTGGTTCGTTCTCCTTTAGGAGAATTTTGTCACAGAAAACGATCCTGTGTAAGGTTAGACTTGACGCGATAAATGAGAGACGAGTCAGAGAGTAAAAAAAAGGCAGGTTTGGATGAATAAAATACGTCGACAGTTTTATTTGATGTTAAGAGTGGTAGGGGGAATATTTATACAATAATTTTTAGAATGCCGTTCGAAATATTTACTATTGGTGGCTTTTTTTTTTTTGTGATTACATGTTATTCTATTAACATTTTGATGTCCATTTTATTCTCAACAATATGCTTCACCGTTAAAAGAGAATCTATCGCCATCTTTTCTTTGCTAATGAATTCGAGAGAGACTTATTAGTAAGAAATTACTATAAATTCTATACATAACAACGTCAGTAAGTACTTACTCTGACAACCGTCTGCTAGCAGATTTTTGATAAATTTCAAGATTCTTGGCGACGATATTGTGATATACGTTTTGACACCAGCTTGGCGTGCGTCCATTGCCAAGTCTTTTTGCAATTTTGGCCCATCCTTTTTTTTCTATGTCATGCATATAGTAAATAGTGTTGACCTCTTCTTCTGTGAATGGGCTTTTGTTGACTATTAAATAAGAGGATGCGTTAGTGAATTTTATTGACAATGACAGCGTAATCAACTTTTATTTTAAAATCTTTACCTCCTTCTTTTAAGTGACATAGCCATCGCGCCCTCATTTGCTTGCCGTTCCGAGTAGAATGGTGAATAGAGTTCTTTTCCCAGTGGTTTGGGCCAAATCTTTTTACAATGTGCAAGAGTGTTTCATCCTCCTATGATCCCATTAGAAACGTGACGTAAGATAAATAAGACAAAATCATTGAAATATTGAATAAGACTCTAAAGTATACTGCACGTCACATTTACCTCCGGAGTCCAGTGTCCCTTTTTCGCTTCCGGCTTTAGACGAAAATTTGGTTGCTGGAAAGGGTCAATTTGTCTTTGCGGACAGTCGTAAGGACTATCCGGCCTTTGATTCCGATATGATTTCTTTCCAGGAGCTTTGAGATTGTTGGACTTCCTTCCTGTCATCGTAAAGGATAAATACATTAAGGTTCAAAATTGGGGAGATTTGCCAAATAACTTTTAAGGTTTTCCGGTAAACTTTCATGCATCTGCCTTTTTTATATATGTAGCAAGGATGACAAATAAGGCAAAACGATATAGGACTAAAGGATGCATCAAACTGGAATTTAAAAACAGTCACACATAGATTGATTAGATCGGTCGTTCTGGTAATATTTTCAATGGGTTACGTATTATTTCCATTAAAGCGTAAGAACAAAAAGACGCTACACCTATAATTAAGCTCCTTGTGAAACATGTCAATGCATTATCCAGTTGTTGCGTGTCACATAGGATCTGCGGATGTTTTGCAATAAGGCTTGGCAATATAAAGTCTATTGAAATGACGTGATTATTCATTGTGCTTTAAAAGGAATAATTAAGAAAGAACCACCCGCAGGCGATTAACGACATCTTTATTCACAATTCAACAGTAGATACTACACAGACTAGATGTGCATTAAAACAAGTACACAACCTGCGCGAAATAACAAGAGAAATTATCATACATGACCCCTTCCCAAAATTTCCACTTCCATTAAAACTCTTCTCAAGGAAACATGTCCCCATCAGGTAACTCCTCATGGGCTGTTCTATAAATGGTGGCATCTTCGCCACCCAACACACCAGTTGTTATAAATGCAAGCTGTGAGTAATCCTTCGTATCAACTGGCAGCTCAGAAAGACGCGTTTCAGGTGCATCATTATTTGCTGCCCGTTCGATTGTCAAAATGCGGGTAATAGAAGGAGGTGGTGATGGCGCGCTGGCCGCCTGCACGGGAACGGTTTCTTCCGCAGTGTTTTCTACTTGAGGCAGTTGTTCATGGGTCGACAAATACAACGTGGACTGAGCTACTGACGGCATAGGAGATTGATTGAACGAGTCGGCAGAATTGTTGCTCGGCATCAAAGCAAGTGTTGGCAGCAAATCATCGTTTGGTCCTGGGTTCGTCATAAACGGATGTTCCTACAGTGAGATTTAACAAGCGAGTGGGCATGGATAAACATTAATACAAGACGGCGATGGATAGCATCCAGGGTACTTGTGACTTGATAGTTACCCTTGCTGCAACGGCAGTGAGTCTCTCACGTGGGTTGATTTTCAGCAACTCTTTTACGAGATTCCGTGCTATTTAAAAATCCAGAGATTTAAGAAATTGATTAGTGAGTAGATAATCTAGTTCTCATTTCCCATTTCTTTGTGATCTTTGCGACTCTGTTTCGTAATACTTAACATGCCACCATCCCTTTGCCTCACCGGACAAACATACAATTAAGACTTTTCTTTCCCCAATGATCCATGGGAAAGGAATAATCGGCTGTCCTTATCTGATCAGCAAGCGGTATCCTGTCGTTTGCTTTGTAAAATGGAGGGAATCCACATAGAGTTATGTACAAGATTACTCCTAGACTCCACATGTCAACGGCTGCATTATAGGAACGCACTGGTTTAGGTGTCAATATTTCGGGTGCGACTGATAGAAAAAGAGAAAAGTAATGATATAGCAAAGTAAGTACGTGAAAAACAGTGTCTTGTTGGTCAGTCCACCTCACAATAATATCTGTTTTCTAGGTCCAATCTTGCACCATGTCTAAGGTAACGGTTTCTATTGGCATTTAATGGCATATCAGTGTTCGCACAACTATATTATTTACCATATGTTGGAGTCCCACATAGCGTGGACATTCGCACTGAACGATCATGCATCCAAGTAGCTAATCCAAAATCTGCTATTTTTACAATAAGGTCTTCTCTGCTAACCATAAGAATATTCTCTGGTTTAAGATCACGGTGAACTATGTGCATTTCGTGAAGGTACTATAGAGTGTTTTTGAGTGATGTTTTTAGTTACGACTCTATTTGTAGTACTGTAGTTGTCATCAGACATAAGCGGATACCTGAATAGCATCAAAAAGTTGCTTGAATATCGTTCTTGTCTGTCGTTCAGTTAGTCCATTCTTACTGGCAATTAAATCAAATAACTCCCCTTCTGGTATCCTAATACGACAATTCACGTAGTCAGTGGACAATACTTACCAGCACACTCACTTGTCTATATCCCTTACCATTCCATTACAATCTTGAATTCATCTCCAGTATCGAACGTATCGAATATTTTGGTAATATTGTCCTACGAAACAAACAAGTCAGATTGTCGAAACAATTTTTCGCGTTAACCTGAAACATTGCAAACATACATGCTTAACATTCTGCATAATTGCAGTTTCACTTTTAAGTGCTTTGAGTAATTTATCATTATTGACGATAGTCGTTTTGTTCAACGTCTTTACAGCAAATGTCTTGCCTGTGCCGATGAGTTCCACCTTATGCACATGAGCAAATTGGCCTTTACCGACCCATTCAAGTACTTTATACCTATCCTCAAATCTCTATTATAAAGTTTGCCAGGGTTAGTTCAATTGAATTGAGAATGGGATATCGCTCTTGATTCATTCTTACGTTACCTCTCTCGCATACGAACGCACACACACACAACTCACACGCACACAGCCTCTCCCACCATGAATAGTTCTGTCTACTTACACATATGTCATCTTCAATGAGCACCTTGAATTGATCTATCAGACGTGTACGCACATTGTAAGTACAACTATATCAAAACACGTTCAATTCTTATTTCTGCAGGTAATCATATATAGATACGTCGCCGCCTTACTTACATCTGATTGTTTGATCCTTCAGCTTTAAACCGATGACATCTCCGCTCTTGATAAGTCTCTGCTTCATTCGTTCGCTATTCTTGTTATTGAATTCGATGCCTCGTTTACTGTTATCTTCGAGAATTAAATCGCATCGGCATTCACCGTTCTCTTTTTTATAGTGCTAAAATACAAAGCAGTGAATTAAAGTTTGGGAGAAAGTATTTAATGGGCATGAGAGATAATGGTGGACATAATGAATGGCAGGTTGTGCAATTTTACCTTATAAATGATACAGTGATGGGAACTTATTGCTTCATCCTTCAGTTGCTGTAATATGATACATTAATCATCGCGCGCTGCATAGTCAAGACATGCTTTCTTTTACTCCCCGTTCCGTTACCCACAGTGTCACAAGTTCGACTTCTTCCGATACTGTGCTGCCTCTTTGAAATCAAAATATTCTCATATCCATTTGTTAATGAAATCAATTTTGCCCATGGCTTCGATTCGTCGTCATCATTGTCAATGTCATTATCATTTTTCTCGTCTTGTTCCTCTTCGTCGAGCTTGGAACGCTTTATTTGAGTTTCTTCTTCGGGTTCATCTCGCTCGCGTGGCGATTTGAGAGACATGTTGAGCGCACGGGTTTGATCGGAAGCTTAAAGGACAGCCGAGTCTCTTGAAATGGGAGTGAGGACTTGATAATAATTAACTTGTAGTATAATTACTGTCACCGTTGGAAAGCCTCCCATCTGCGCATCCCATATTAGGGCATGAAAAATTAATCGAGCCGTAGTCATTCATTGACCAATACTATTGCTAAATTTTGAACCAACAATACTAATACACTAACGTAATCGTTACTAGAGGATGTGGAAGCTATCAATGTGGTCTTACACAATTAAGAGCATGTAAAGAAATTATTGTCCAACTCGTACGATTTGTAGGTGCAACAATAAAGTGCAGCCCGTCATCTTACTTCTCACTCTACGATTAAAGGGTCTCATTAACAATCGAGCGCTTAATAGAAGCAACGTAGCACAAGCAATGATACCTTTCAACAATACATCAATCAATTGTTTAGACTCAATACATTATAATTCAGTTGTTCGATCCACGAGAATTCACCCGCCCTATACCCCCCATTACGTAAAGAAGATATACTCGACTATACGCGTATGTCGACTTTGTGGAAATGAGATTACATGCCTAATTTAGTTGTGTTTAGAGCTCAACCATCTAAAATTGTGTAATTGCTACTTTATTTAATAAATTATTAGTAACTGTGCCAATGTTGGTATTCTTATTACTATTGGTGTCTTTCCACTAAAGAAAGAAGATATCACCACTTTCGGAAAGCTTAAATTTTTTCAAAGCTATTAAAAACGGGAACTTTGAAATGATGACCAAAAAATTCTTCCTCTACACAAGAATAATAATGCTGTACGCGAATTGTGCATACGAAACCTGTTATTGCATAAGAATGTGCACAATATGTAAATCACGTGAATTGCACTATTAGAACATGTGCTTATGTGGGTTGCATTTATGGATTTGCTATTTATTGATTTAAATTCTTTTCGATAGAACATTGCATGAAGCAGGTAGAAGATGTTTTGAAGAATGATGCATGGGATATTAGTGGTTCTAAACATTCTTTTTAGGAGTTGGTATTATGTAAACTAAGAATTGTAGGTGATTCGGGTAAAGTAACGCTAAAAAATATCAATTAAACAATTGTCACAACCGATGTAGACAAAAAAGAAGAGAAAGTTAGTTGCCTTAATTTCAGAGTTAAATTTGCAGCAAGTTGTCCACGGAAGTATAAAGTTTTTGTGATAAATTGATTTACTATGATTGAAACCTATATGGTATGTTCTTAAACCGTTAATGATAAGTTTTATGGCTTCTGCACTTTGCTGAAATCTTTAACTATTAGACAATATACAGCACGTATTTTTACACACTGATACGAAATTTCTTTTAATACGTATTATTTGCTTTAAAATTATCATAGATTAATCTACTCTTAGGCTATAGCTGTCAAATCTATTATATTTATAATCTACATGTTTCCGCCTCGTGAGAGTTTAATTCTAATACTAATTTTCCCAAAATGTTTATGACGGAATTTGATAATAATATAATCATTATCGATTCCACACGCGTACGTTGTACTCGGATTTGGCAAGAGACGGTATCAAGTATTGCACAATATCCCAATGGTCTTGTCCTGAGATGTCTTCAACTCTGAAGCGTCTGAATATCGATGCGATAATAAGACGCATTTCTAATAAAGCAAAACTGTCATAATAAAAATAAAATAAAAATCAATTTTAATACCCAAAGATTTGCGCTCATAATAGTTATATAAATAATGCCCTACTTTTGTCCAATGCAATTTCTTGAACCAGCTGAAAATGGATAATATGCGTCGCGTGGAACATTAGGATCGAACCATCGTTCAGGAACAAACTCATCTGCGTTTTCGCCCCAGTATTCGGTAGAACGATGAAGTGCAAAAATATCTGAAAGTACAAGACAGCCTTTTGGGAATAGTGTTCCCTTAATAACTGTATCCTCTGATGGTGTACGCGCTATACCTAAACACATAACATACATATTGTTAGTGTGTGGCAGTTGAAAAACTTTTATGCATTAAGAGCTTTTAGAAAGCGATTAATTACCATCTTTTTGGTGTAAGATAAATAATAATAAATAATTGGTTAGTAAATAAAAGTCAAACATTAGTTAAGACGTATCAAAGCTATAACATTACCTATCGTAACAGGCCATAACCTCAACCCCTCATTTACGACAGCGTTCAGATATGGTAGTGTCTTTAACTTGTCGTGCTTTGGTAACTCATCTTTTGGTAAATCGACAAATTCCCTGTCAAATTCCTCAACAAGCTTTTGCATCTTATCCGGATGTTTCAAGAGCATTAGCGAAGTATAAAAAGTACTAAAGGCTGTCGTGTCACTTCCAGCGACAATAAATTCAACAATCTGTTCATGCATGTCAATACTAGGAGACGCATCTTTTGTATCTTGGGCATCAAGAATAATCTGAAAAAGATCCTTGTGGAGAGAGTCTTTTGCTTGACGACGTTGACTGATGAGTTTAGTTGCAAACTTGAATTTCATAGGGTGAGAATGTTAGCTGTAAATCGGTAAATTCTATTGGCTAAAAATATATCAAGTCAAAAAATATTTACTTCATAAAGATAAATGTTGCTCTTCAGAAACCGTGTCATTATAGGAAATGACTTTCTCTGTAATAACAGCAGTCGCGTTTAGTGTATATAATTTGTTTGATACAAAGTGTTTTTAATATCCTACATACCTTGGCACGTTTGTTCAATTCTACAGCAATTTCTTTGGCTAAGGGATGGTTTTCTTCTTGAACAACATTGAAATTTGTCCCGAATGCAGTGTAACCAACTATATCCTGCAATTTTAAAAACTTGACGTCAAGTTACAAATAAGTGCTATCAAACGAATGCGTATTTACATACCAGAGTCATATCAACAATCATCTTGTAAAAATTTATTACGATTCCATCAGACGACGGACTTGCCCCTATTGTTGAATTAATTTTTTTATTCGAATTACAGATACACTTGGCTATAAACGGCTCAAGAGAACAAAGATGCTTGATTGCGAAAGCCGGTGAGAATAGTCGTCGCTGTATTCATTATTTTGTAAACGTAAAATGTATAAGTCAAACTGATTTCACTGATAATGTATAAAGTCATTGTAAGTATATACGTACATTTTGCTTATGCTGTGTTTTTTCACTAATGTTGTGAACAGAAGAATGGCTTTTAGCAGTTTTCCAATTGAAATCAATATACCCTTAAATATAATAGAAAAACTTTTCTTACTAGACTGAAAACAGTGTACGCACATAAGGCGCAGCACTAAACAATCTGTAGAAATCACTTTTGGGCCAATCCTATTGAAAGAAGTAAGGATTTACGTAAGCGTATATTCACAATCTTAACACTATAGTAATAATGTCGTACTTACTTCTTTAACGATTATCTAAATTACCAAATTAAATTAAACGAACAATTAACGTCGATAAGACATAGTTAATAGCATTAACACGTGTCCTCCCATACCTCTCTAACAATATCTTTGTCATAAGTAACTACCACTTTGGGAGCTGAGGAATTATCAAGTTAGTTGGGAATATACAATTAGAGGTTGCAGTGTGTTACGCAAGTAACATTAATATTAATATACCTGCTCTAAACATTTTCCCGTACTTGGGAACCAATTCAAACTGAATCCAACGCCATCTAAGTGACAAGTAAATAAACAATTAAATAATTAAAATAACCAACTAAATAAACAAGTCAAGATATAAATCTTTGCTTACTTTATGCCTCGATATGCAGTTATTAAATATGGAAGAGCACTCAATATTGCGAGCTTTGGTCCCGGTATTTTGCTCAAAGGCCCAAAGAATGCATCATATATTTTCTATCAACGTTAATAAGGTATAAGTAATGAATGTTTTCCCACTAGTATTAGTATGGCCATCAATAGTTTGTTACCTGGTATACAAATCTTAAAATCAATACAGCAATAGTAAATAATCCGATTGCTACAATTGCATTGTCAGAATAGAGATACGAATAGCTCTTCATTGTGGGAATTCTCGTTCGTTTAACTGCTACCGAGAGGATATGGTGTCCATTATAACCATTTACACTGCCTGCGCCTCATTCGATAAGTAAGTCAGAACAATAAAGATTTTATGTAGTGACTGCGTTCGACCGTTGAACAGTGATCAAGTGATGCATGAACCGCAGGTAAAATCCTATTTTTATATTTATCTTTGTAAACGGAAACGAGTTGTAGCTCGTGGAAAAGCGGTATTTGCTACACTGCATACAATATAGTAAATACGTCTTATTTTACCAGACTGCGGAGAATGCCGCAGCGATCCGATTGTATGGATCAAAAATATTAAAACAAACGAAAGTGACGTTATTAACATATGTTGTGCAAGTGAAACAGCTATATTAGTATTACCATGTCAAGCTTTAGTATTTCACTGTTTTACCCTTGAAATTGAATCCAATATGAATAAATAAAGTTAGTCTTTACTATGCATATCGTATCCCATATAGGTTCAAGT